GAATCTGCGTCCTCCCGCAACCCATCCCCAACCATCATACCTCCAAAATCGATCATCGTCCATCGTGAAAGGTGTGAAGACCGTTCGTATTGATCCATCATCGAATCTCTATCCCCGACTACTGATGCTTATCACCGCATAGACCAAACGACGCACCTCGCCACCGATCAAACCCCTTTCAACCGTCATCGTTAAAGGCCCGTCGATCGCCGTGGAGAAGCCATTGAAGTTTCGCCAAAAATATTCCTACCGCTTCGATCTTTCCTCGATTACGGTCACCCCGGTCATCGGCTAGCCTCACCGCCTGCTCATTGAACTCCCCACTTCCTTGCGCACAAAACCCAACTGATGGGTCACAGTGCTGTCGTTGGTTTCGTCCGTCCGTCGTTGAGGTATGAGTTTCGACTATTTTCTTTTGCTTTTGATGATTTTAGCTTGTTTTGAACGTTGTTATGGCTTGGTCTTGTTGTTTTGGTGATCTTAAAGTGCTCAGCTACCGTCTCTGACCCCGTCATCATCATCACGCACCGCCACATACTGTTGTGTGTGTGTGGGGCTCATTCCCTGTCTTAGAACCTCTTAAAACTGATTCAAGTCAACTCGGACCGAACTAAGTCAATCTGAACTGGCCTGAGTCAACCCGAATTAGTATGACTCGTTGATTTTGACCTGACCATTGATCGTTAACTAGACCCGTTGACTTTAACCTTTACCAGTTTGACTGCTGACTTTGACCAAAAAGTCACATTTTTAAAAGTTATATTTTATGTTTTTCAACGTCTTGAGTCTGAATCTGAAGTTTGTTTGCCAAATTCGAATCCAAAAGCCTCCAAATTGACCCGTTAAACTTGAATATGCATATGTAATTTCAGTATTCATTTAAATGATTTAATTAAGTGCATCTAATTTAATTTGAGGGTCAATGACTAAATTATTATGTCGTTTAATTGATGTACCCGTGATTCTCCTGATCGTTCGTCTGCTCTACCTGATTCCTCCCGATTCGCTCGTCTGTGAGAGCCCGCGATTGCTCGTATAGTTTTACAACCCTATTAAATACTCAGTTTAGTGTACTACTCCGATAATAATTTTGTTCTGATATGACTTAGGTTCTCATACAGTAGAAGAGCGTAGTGAAGCTGGTGCTCAATAGATCTACCAGACTGATTTTTTTTGTGAGGTGTGTTCCTTATGTTCTATATATATATATATATATATATATATATATATATATATATCTTTTTAAATACATGTTTGAAATATCATGTGCACATGATTGTTTTACCTAATTTGCAATGTGGCTAGTTGATCTGATTTGATTTCGCATGATTTATTTGTTTCAAGCCTAATTTCTAATTTACTGAAGTTTTAAGCATACTTGTCTAATTCATGTTCTTTGGTTACTATTTTTACTGAATTGATATATGCTAGAACTCTGATTTCCTTGCTACTGTTAATTACTGTTTGAAAACTATTCTCTTCGGGGTACTTTGGGATTTGGTATGAAGTCTCTGCAGGTTCAGCTTCGATCAAGCTGGTAATTCCTTATATAGGTTCAACACCGATCAAACTAGTAATTCCTTATAGACATAAGGTGGCCCTTTTGTGGGCTCTTGAGCCCAATGGCCCTTATGGTAAGACCTTATGGAGCCTAAGAAGAGGACTTGTACTTATACTCCTCCGAGTAGTAATTATGGTTCTAGGCCTACAGCTCCACCCTAAGTGTTAGGAGGGGTGATTCATCGGGTGTTTCTTATATACCTGTTTGTGAGTGTTGTAGAAATCAACACAGGGGAGAATGTGTAAAAATGGGTACTTGCTATTGATGTGGATCTAGTGTGCATTTCCTTAGAAAGTGTCTGCATCCAGCATCTTATGAGCGTCCATATACTCTGAACCCTGCCCGTTCTCAGGCTTCCGTTTAGACCCCAGCTAGGAGTCAGAATCAGGGTAAGACTTCTAGATCTGCTTCTAGGATTGACACTAGAGCTCGTTTGCAGCAAAGTGGAGGACCAGTTTTATTTTAGGCGAAACAGATTGCTCTAGTCTATGTTACTAGACGTCTTGACGATCATGATGAGCCCGAGACTTCTGCATGTATCTATTGTTAATTATTTTTCTTATTATGCATCTTTGAATAATGATTATGTTTATTCCTATATTTCGAGTCATGTATTCCGAGACTCTCAGACTCTGATTCGGTTTATCGAAATGACCATCATCGTTGTAAGTTTCTTTATCTGTTTGACTCGGGAGAATTTCGATGATGAAATTATTTTAAGGGGATGAGAGTTGTCACACCCAGATTTTCATTGGAATTGATTTGAATTTACTTTTAATGAATTTTGGTGATTATTATGCAAATTTTTAGAACTTTAAGGCCTATTTTCAAAAAACCTAAAACTTCAGGGACCTAACTTGAGTTTTACCCTTTTTATACTTGCAGGAAAAAAATAAAAATATATGGTTGATGGGTTTTGAACCCCTAACCTAATGCATGGTCAACCATGCCTCTACCAATTAGGATAAGCCACAGTTAGGTTTTTAAATTAATAAAATGAGTTTTAAGGTTTTATGTTTGGTTTTAATCCCAAAAATCAGATACCCTTATAGTGTGAACCAAACCCCAAAATCAACCCCTAATCTTTCTATATCCATAGCCGCCACTGGCCCCTTCATCGATCCACCCTGCTCTAGTCACCGTTGATATGCCCTATCGCCACCAATTGAATTGGCGTCCTCCTATGACCCATCTCCAACCGTCACACCACTAAAATCGATCGTCGTTCATCACGAAAGGCGTGAAGATCGTTTGTATTACTCCATCATCGAATCTCTATCCTCGACCACCGATGGTTATCACCGCCTATCCCAAACGACGCTCCTCGCCAACCCGATCAAACCCCTACCATCCGTCGTTGCTGAAGGCCCTCCGATCGCTGTAGAGAAGCCGTTGAAGTTCTTCTAAAAACTTCCCTACCACTTCGATCTTTCCTTGATTCCTGTCACCCCAGTCATCAGCTAGCCTCACCGCTTGCACCATTGGACTCCCCACCTTCGTGCGCTCAAAACCCAACTAGTGGGTCACCGTGTCGTCACTAGTTTCGTTCGTCCTCCGTCGGCGTAAGAGTTTATTCCATTTTCTTTTGATTTTGATGATTTTATCTTGTTTTGAGCATTATTATTTCTTGGTCTTGATGTTTTGCTGATCTTGGAGTGCTCGGCTATCTCCCTTGACCCTGTCGCCGTAGTCACGTGTTGCCATGCGCGCGTGGGGCTCCTCTCTTGTCTTGGAACCTCCTAGAATCGGTTCGAGTCAACTCAGACCAAACTGAATCAACTCAAATCGGTCTAACCCGTTTACTTTGACTTGACCACCTGCCCGTTGACCAGACCATTGACTTTGACCTTTGGCCAGTGAATTTGACCAAAAAGTCAAAAATTTTGAAAAGTTATATTTTATTATTTTCGACGTCCAAATCCGATGTCTGTTTTGCCAAATTCAAACCCAAAAGTCTTCAAATTGACCCGTTACAATTGAATATGCATATGTAATTTAAGTATTCATTTAAGTGATTTAATTAAATGCATCTAATATAATTTGAGGGTTAATGACTAAATTATTATGTCATTTAATTAAAGTACCCTTATTCTCTCGATCGTTCATCTGCTCAGCCCGGTTCCTCCTGATCCGCTCGTCGGTGAGAGCCCGAGATTACTCGTATGGTTCTACAACCCTGTTAAATACTCAGTTTAGTGTATTATTCCAATTAGGTTCTCTTACAGTCAAAGAGTGTAGTAAAGCTGATGTTCAATAGATCTATCGGACTGATTCTTTTTGCAATATGTGTTCCTTGTATGTTATATATATATATGTGTGTTTTAAATACCTTTTTGAAATATCATATGCATATGACTATTTTACCTAATTTGCAATATGGCTAGATGATCTGATTTAATTTTGCATGATTTATATGTTTCAAGCATGATTTCTGATTTACTAAAGTTTTAAGCCTGCTTGTCTAATTCATGTTCTCTGATATTGTTTTTACTAAATTGATATGTTGAAACTTTGATTTCATTGCTACTGTTAGTTATTGTTTGAAAATATTCTCTTCAGGGTACTCTGGGATCTTGTATGAAGTCTCTGTGGGTTCAGCTCCAATCAAGTTCCTCATACAGGTTCAATATCGATCAAGCTGGTAATTCCCTATAGACCTAAGGTGACCCTTGGGTGGGCTCCTGGGCCCAATGGTCCTAGTGGTAAGACCTTATGGACCCTAAGGTACTCCTTTAGAGTGGCTCCTCTGCTATGTACATTAGATAAGTCCTTATGGGCCTAAGGGCACATCCCTCAGGTGGGCACCTACGCTTTGGCTAAGATAATACCTTATGGACCCAAGGAGCTCCCTTAGGTTGGCACCTACGCCCTTTGGGCCTAGTGTAAGTCTTTATGGATGTAGTTCTGGGGAATTGCACATGGCGTACGGTTGGAGGGTTGTATTGTATTTTAAACTACAACTCTACTATCATTTTCATAACTTTGATAATGAATCGATTTTGAACTTAACCATATGTTTTATTTTGCACTGCTGGAACACACTGAGCTCCCTAGCTCGTTCCGCCAGATTTTTCTCTTTCAGATAATTTTTTATAGGCGACCCCGAACCTGGCACTTGGAGGGTTGACACATTCGTATATTATTATTTTGTTTTAATGTATTTATCTCTCGATTTTTCATTATGATGGGTGGCATGTGCCTATTTATTTTGAAATACTTTTCTTGCAACTAATGTTAGAATTACATCGATATTGATTTGTGAAAGATTTTGTTTTACTCATACATTTATAGTTTTATATTACTCTAATTAGAACTTATTATTAATAACTATGTTTTTAAAAGGTATTATTCATAGGATTTAAAATTTAAAAATTTCGAAAATTTTATCATAATCTGCTAGATCTGGTCGTAATGCATAGACCGAGTCTAGGGGTTACATTTATCATGTCATCTGAGAATGTCTCTTCAAGGATCACTAGGTAAAAAAGAAACAAAATCAAATACGAGAATTTGAAATTGCATTTCATGGTGAAACTCATTTGCTTGTGTAATTTTGATTCAGATGTTTAGAAAAGGCGCGGAGGAATTTTTGTTGAAGGCGGTGAGGTTATCGGATTTGAGTAAACTTAGGCCCCATATGTTAAAAACCAAATTAAGGGATCATAATCAGAAACAAGAGAAGCAAGAAGAAAAATCACCTTTTCAGTCACCAAAACAACAGAAAATTGAACAGAATGTGCAGCAGCAACAACAATGGAACACTAACAAGAGAACGACCATAATAAGGGCTTTCACCTCTAAGAAGAAGAACTAGATAAAGTTGCATCATTACTTGTATTTTTTTATTAGTTTGGGGTGATTACAAAGTAGCATATGTTCATAATTTTCTTAGCCAATTGATAATGGTCGCACACACCTATAGATTCAACTGCTCGAGCTCGAGATATCTAAGAAAAACACTCCTTATACACTGAGGTCGCGTAATTAGTTCCAGAACTGTGTTAAATGATCATGCCAACCATATATATATATATATTGTATATTTATATATATATTTATATTGGTTCTTTAGATTAAGTGTTGTTAGGAGAAATACTTAAAACTCTCAAAGACCAAACAAAGGGATAAAGATGACAGAACGATTTGAAGCCCAAAGTCAATCGTATAGAGAGTTTCAAATTATGTATAGTGTCATCATTTCTAATCTCTTTACTTTTATAAAAATGTGTGCTTTTAATCCTTTGATCTATTTCTTTTTGTGGCTCATGTACACAATGTTTTTTGTATAATTACACAAAAACCGTCATTTTATTTTTAAAAATGTACAATACTTTGTCCAAATTCTACCAAAGATGTCAAAATATGCACTGGAAGAGCCAGTATACAGTGAGGGTGTTAATTGACACCCCAAAATTTTAAAAAAATAAAAATTCTCATATAATATATATATATATATATATATATAATAAAATTAAAGAAATGACACCACTTTCAAAAACTTAACACCCTTTAAAAAAAGAAATTGATCTCACATTTTAAAAAATATTTAACAATAAAAATTTTAATAAGCCTATAAACGAATCGAACGTTCAATGAACTATTCGGTGGGATGTTCGTTTATTTATTAAACGAAATAACATGAACAAGATTTAATGTTCGTTTAATTAAATGAATGAACATGAACAAATGGTATGTTCGTCCATTTAATTTCGTGAACGTTCAGTAATTCGTTCATTTATGTTCGTTCGTTTATATTCAGTCCAATCTTCAGACCCGTTTGAAATATTAATACCTAATAAATTTTAACCTTAACTCATTAATATTTTAAAATCCAATTAATTATAAAACCAAATAAAAGTACTCAAATCAATTAAAGAAAATATAAACCCTAAAATAATTTAGAAAGAAAAAAACTTTTCTCAAATATAAACCCAATTAATTTTATGGTCGTTCGTTTATGCGTATTTATGTTTGATTATGTTTGTTTGTGTTCATTCATGTGTGTTCGTTAACGTTCATTCGTTTGTGTTCATTTATCATTTTAACGAACAAATATGAACAAACACGAAGCTACATTTCTTACGAGCGCGAATAAGAAATTTTGTTCGTTTAGTTTCTCGTGTTCTTCATTTGTTTGATTAAAGTTACACGAACATACCCACGTTTGTATTCATTCGGTTCGTTCGTTTACAAACCTAAAATTTAATACCTAATGGTCACTGATGTTTGGGTAAGTTTTTGTTTTCACCACTGATGTTTCAAAAGTTACAAATAGGTCACTAACGTTATCATTTGTGAAAAATTGGTCACTCCCCGTTAACAGCCGTTAAGAGACGTCACGGAAATCACACGTGGACTATTAGCTGTTTACCTGGATGGTTGACCTACTGAAATTTATTACAATTTGGTTGCTCTACAGTAGCATCGAGGATAGCCAAATTAGACAATGGAACCAAACAGACGCTTCAGAGAAGAAAGCAAAGGAAACAACCATAGTTGTCGGTGCTCACAGCAGTAAAACAGAGAGAGATCTTCATATTTATAAATGGAAGCACTCAATTGCAAGCTTGTTTTGATCTACGCGACGCTCATAGCGGCGGTGGCGGCTGCTGCAATAATCGTCGATACAAGTTGGGACCACCACAAACACCAGATCCTGGAATTGATACCCACCGGATCGCCATGCAAGAGCCCCGTAGCTGAATGCTTAGCCGGGGAAGAGTTCGAGCTGGACTTCGAGATAAGCCAACGCATGTTGGCGACTACAATGTACATCAGCTACTGCGCGCTGTAGAGGAACACCGTGCCTTGCTCCCGGTGTGGTGCTTCCTACTACAATTACCAGTCCAAATCTCAGGTCAACCCTTACAACCGTGGTTGCAGTCGTATTACAAGGTGCAGGAGCTGAGCTCTTTTCTTCTTCTAATTTTAATTTTTTCCACATTTCTAACATCATTTTTAATGATTGAGTGTTTGATTGATATACATGAAGAAATTGAAAAAGTTCATTGGTGGGTAGTGAATCTAGTAATGGCTCTTCTTTTCCATTCATTGGCCAAACGGCGGGGAAGATGGTCGTAATGATGAGAGAAATAGTTGGTGAAATAGCACCTTTTACGGTGATGGGGATAATGGAAGCTTGCACCATAACACTCACTATTCTGGCCAAAACAACCATAACAGGAGGAATGAGCCCTTTTTTCTTTGTAGTTTACACCAATAATGCTGGTTTTCTCTTGCTACTCCCTTTTCCCTTTCTTCTTCACAGGGAAAGGTGCTTGCAAGGTTGTGATTTCCTCTCATCTTTTCCCCTTCTCTGTGTACCACTCTCTCTTCAATTTCTTTATCTTTTATTTGTTTATTACTATAGAACAGACCAGTCGATCTTCACATTCCCACTCCTTGTGCATATATTTTTAATGGGTTTAACAGGGTTGCTTCTCTTTTCTCTTCACATTGTTTCAACTTCTTTGAAATGAAAAACGATTGACTGATTTCTTCTTCTTCTTTTCTGGTGTTTGATTTGTGTAGGATAGCTATATCAGAGAACCTTGCATACTCACCCATCGTTGTACGCACATCTGGTCTCCTAATCCCGTCTATTTCCTTCTTGCATTCCATCCTTCTCAGGTTCTTTATCTTCCCAAAGCCATATTCTTCTTCTTGTAATCTATTTCAGTTCAGAAGCTGGATAAGCAATCGATGACGTGGAGGAAGACGATGAAGTGGCTGAAGAAGTAGGCGACGGGGAAATCAGATTGGGCTACCCATAGATCTGTCAGTTAATCCATCGTAAAAATCCCGACCACCGCAGGAGAATCCCGAAGCCATTTCTCCTCCCCTCTGCTTTGGGTTAACTGAATATAACAGAGGAGAGCTATGGTGGTTTTGGGTTTTTCCATTTAATTTTATTAATTAAATTTTCATTAAATATTTGGTAAAACACCGGTCAAAGGGGTGGTCAACCATCCATATAAGCATAAAATGGTCCACATGTGTTTTCCGTCACGTCTGTTAACGTTTGTTAATGGTGAGTGACCAATTTGTCATAAACGATAACGTTAGTGATCAATTTGTAACTTTTGAAACATTAGTGGTGAAAACGAAAACTTACCCAAATATTAGTGACTATTGGCATAGTTTACCCTTTAATATTTGACGAAGATAATAAAGTAGCTTTGAAACTAAAAATATATTTTAAATGATCAAATTACAATAAGAAAATTGACTTAATGAATAAAAAATAGTACTGAATATTAATACTTTAGCATATATGATCTCTGGTAACTTATAGTTCACTTTTTTTTTTAAATACTTGTAGTCATAGTTACATAAATCGCTCAATAGCCCACGATCTACGTACTGTACGTTGTGATCCAAAATGCGGTACGAACGCGTTCCACCTCACGAATCTCGTTTCAGTTTGTCCGTTCCAATTCACGGTTCGTTTGCGTATCAGAACGGTGAAATTAGTGTACCAAAAACCCATAGCGAAAATAATGGAAGTATAAACCCCATGAAAGCAAACCAAAGAAAGAAGAAACCCACCACAACAAACCAAAGAAAACAAAAACCCTCACAGCAGAAGCAAAGGAAACAAAAGCCCATCACAACAAAAACAAAGAAACAAATATAGGGGTAAGGATTCAGTAGAAGAAGGGGCGGTAACGAAGACGGTGGAAGGGCCGATCTTACCAGTCGGCGGTAGAGTCGACATATTTTTTTGATAGATAATTTGGTAAAGGAAAAGAAAGGAAGATGGACTGGTATTTTAGAGAAGGAAAAGAAAGGAAGATGAGGAAGCGTTGAAGTGTGAGAAGAAAAAAAAGTAAAGTTAATATTTCAGAAACCCAAGTAAAGACCAACTCTTTTTACTGTTGTATTTTTACTGTTTAAGATATTGGTTTAATTATAAATTTAGTCCTTCAACTTTATAAATTTAGTCCTTCAACTTTTAAGTATTGAAGTTACTAATTGAAATCTATAGTATTGAAGTTACTCTAAGATATTTGAAGTCTTGAAGTTACTTATAAAATTTGATGTAGAAAAAGAGCAACTTAAGAAACTGGTACATCGTACCAATTTATATGGTACATCGTACCGGAGTGATCCGAAATGAGTCTATCCCCCTCGTACCGAATTTTAGGGACCTAGCGAATTGCGATCCTGTTCCACGTTCCCGTACCGGAGCGTACCGCGATCCATGTGACTATGCTTGTAGTTCACTTTCGTCCCTGCACTTGAGGGAAAAAATGTTTGTGCGTGAAATGATTTATCAAAAAGTGAAGGTTTTTTAATATAATATATATATATATATATATATATTAATTTTTAAAATTAATTATTAAAATAAAATTTATTGGAATAGCATCTATTTATATTGCTGAGTAATTTTAAACCCTAACGACCTCCACGACTGTTTCCACCACCAAAACGACCGCCACCTCCTCCACTTTTGCGGGACTGGGCTTCATTAACGGTGATATTCCTCCCGTCAAGATTTTGACTGTTCATTCCTTCGATAGCGTTATGAGAGAAAATATTCAAAGAAAACTATAAGGGTCAGATATTTTGGTTATGTAGCTGTGAATATATTTAATTATTTAATAAATTTAAATTAAAAAAAAAATTTATATTTAAAAAATTAAATAAACATTCAAAACTTCCTAAAATAATCAATTTTCTAAAAAAAATTGAGTGTCTTGAGGCAAAAATTCACCTGATAAGCTAAGCGGATAAAAAATACTATTAAAAAATTGAGTGCCTTGAGACAAAATTAGTCTATAGGCCAACTTAGATTTTATTTTGGAATCAAATGTTATTGTATAAGACAAACTTGTCACGTTACGAATTTATCCAAATAATTTTTTATTTAAACTCAGTAAATCAATGTGATGAATTCTAATAAAATATATTTTTATTAAGTTTTATCACGTCGATGTAATGAGTTCTAAATCTTTGTAATAAATACCGTAGATCCTACAATAATTTTAAAAATGACCTAATAGATAAATTTTTTACCCATCTACCCTATTGGGCCAATTTTACCGTGCCTTGAATCAATAAGCATTTTTTTTTTGTTTTTAGTTAATAAACTTTAGTGTAAATTACAAAAAATAACCATCCAACTATGGGTTTGGTCTCAAAATGACCATCATTTTCAAATTTACATCAATATAACAACTGAACTATTTCCACATGTTGTTAACATTTAACGAAAGTGTTTACGTGGCAGTTAACAAAATTAGTATAATTATAGTGTGTGTCCTTGTAATATTACGTATTTGCAGTGTTGAAACCCTAATTTATTTTCTTCCATTTTGGTCACTACTTTGTATATGATTTGTTTCCTTGGATTTTCATTTAATGTTATTTGATCTTGATTCTGTTTTTAATTTGTCTAATGTCTTAATTTGAGCATTAACTTTAAAATCTTTTATTTTAGTCATGTATTAAATTTATATATTTGAATATTAAATTATTTTTTAATGAAAATGATTTCATATATATATTCATTAAAAATAAATATGAAAACAATAAATTTAGTTTAAAAATATTAAAATCTTAAATCAATTATAAATAAAATATTAGATTTATTTTAGTGATTTAACTGTTGTTATATTCTCAATTGGCCTAGATGTAAGTTTTCACTTATATGTTTTTATTTTTAATATATATATATATATATATATATATATATATATATATATATAATTGATTCCTATATATTAGATTTAGCTCATTGATTAAGGCTTTCTTGATATATATATATTATAATTGATTCCTAAATATTAGATTTAGTTCATGGATTAAGGGTTGCTTGGTTACTAATTCATTTTGGGTTTAAATCCAATTATTTTATTTTATTTTTTTGGGTTAACTACATGATTGATCGCTTATGTTTGTGTTTTGTCAACTTTTCCTCGCTGATTTCAAAAAACATAATATGTGATCACTTTTATTTTTATTTAATTAAGATATGGTCACATTCATTTTTATTTAGTTAAGATGTGGCCACCACGGGTTAATTGCCATTAATAGTTAACATATTAGGTGACGTAGTATTTTGGTATAATCACACATTTGTTCCATGTTATTTACGTATTCTCTTAATTTAGTCTTACTTTTAATAAATGAAAATAAATTTAATCTTCCAATCAAATGATACAACATGTCACTGTTGCCACGTGTCACCATTCGGTTGGCAAACTAACTTTACTTTAATTTAGTCGTCATACTTTAATAAATTAAAATAAATTTATCATATTAAATTAAAATAGAGTTAGTCCTCCAAACAAATGGTGACATATGACACGACATGTGATACCAATTAAATTTATTTTAATTTATTAAAAGTATGACTAAATTGAGAGGATATGTAAATAAAATGGACCAAATGTATGATTATACCAAAATATTTAACTATTGTTAACGACAGTTAACTTGCGGTGACCATTTCTTAATTAAACAAAAAAACAAAAGTAACCATATATTATGTTTTTTTTTTTAAATCGGTGAGGAAAAATGGACAAAACACAAACATAAATGATCAATCATATAGTTAACATTTTTTCTACCCAAACTTGAACAAGCATATAACATATGTATTATCTCAATAACAAGAGTGAGAATTAGCTCAATGATTAAGGCATGCACAAGTTACCCTTGGGACCGAAGTTAGATTTCCTTGAGTGTCAAAATTCATCTCCATTTATTTTCACTTCAATTCTAAAGGTGACACGTGTCAACTTTAGATTGGATTGTAAATTTATTAAATTAAAATCCTCTAATTATATTGTATGTGTCACAATATGATTGGAGAAATAAATTTATTATAAATTAAAATCAGTAACTAATTAAGAATTAAAGTTAATCTTTGTGATCAAATTGGTTAATTATAAAATCTAGGGGATTTAATCTATAAATTAATACATGACTATAATAAAAGATTTTAAAGTTAATGCTCAAATTAAGACATTAGACAAATTAAAAACAAAATCAGGATCAAATTGCATTAAACGAAAATCGAAGTAAACAAATCACATACAAGTAGTGACCAAAATGGAAGTAAACAAATTTCCAGCACAACAAATCATATACAAGGATATGCATCCTAATTATACCAATTTTGTTAACCGTCACTTAAACACTTTCGTTAAATGTTAACGTCAAGTGACTATATTGAAACTATTTAAATGATTCAGTAGTCATATTGGCGTAAATTTTAAAATAGTAGCCATTTCGAGGTCAACCCCATAGTTGGATGGTCATTTACAAAGTTTACCCTAAACTTTAATGCTATTAATACTACAACATATCAATTTTATTACATTTGAAAATTAAAAACAGATTGCATTGGTGAACTCATTTCTACAGAGCTGTGGAGTCTGGATTGTGCTCATATATTTTTGCAAATCAACATTGAATCTCTAGGTCAGTTGTACTTCCTTTTTTTCATCTCAACAAAGGGGCGAAAAAGAAGCGACTCTAAATACAATCAGTTGATTTATTATGTTTTCGCCTTGTTAGTGTAGACGGGTACATACTAACCCAGCTAGATCTGCATCTTCAAAATTATACCCAAAAAAATTATAGGAAAAATCGTATGGCGTCGCGGTTGCAAATTGAGGGCGATGCCTCAGTATTGCTCCGAGTCACTCACTCCAACCTCAAAAGTTTCGCCGCCGACATTCGCTTCTCTCTTCAGGTTCTGATTCACAACAATTTCTTTTACTCTAATTAATTCTTCAGTTTTCTTTTCCTTTTCTATTTTAAAATAAAATTTAAAAGAAATTCATTTGTTTAAAAGATGAGCGTGGAAGCAGTGAAAGAGAAGCTATGGAAGAAATGTGGGACTTCAGTAAATTCAATGCGGTTAGAGCTATATGATGATTGTAAAAATAAACTTTGTGATTTGAGTGATGATTCAAGACCTCTTGGTTTCTATTCTCCTCTAGATGGGTTAGTTTTTCCAATTCCCCTTTTTATTTGTATTGTTAGTTCTAGTTTTATCAATGTTTATTCTACAACATATACATCATTTTCTTTTGATTCCTTCCTTTGTACTGTAAAAGGTTCCGAATACACATTATAGATCTTGATCCTTCATCGGTAACTTCTGGAGGGTGGCTTGAAGATACGTCATTAGTAGAGAAGTATACGATTTCTGAAGATGAATACAGTAAACGTTCCGGTAAGTCAGTTACTTGCAAAAACTGATTCTGCAATGTTATCGACTTGAAATTGTTTTCCTCTACTTTTTTTTTCATTTTAATTAACATTTATTTTTTTGCAGTGGTTTGAACTTTTTTGTTGTTGTTTCAGGTACATTTAGGAAGTTCAAGGAACAGATGGCATCTCAAAATCCATCAGCATTTAGGAATAAAGTAAGTGTCTTATTTCATATACGAGTCTGTGTGTGTTTGTCACTAGCCTTAAGATGCCCCACAATAGGAATATTATATGTAAGTAGGCACTAGCAAGGTTTTGTGCTGCATATTACAAAGTGCAGTAATGTATTTATTGCATCTATTTCTGTCTTGGGTATGCTTGTTGATTTCATTTACAGATGTCAGACAACTACATGGAAGACCTCTGTGCAAATATCAAGGTTGGTGTGAATTATTATTTTTCACTTCTGCTGTACTTGGCATTTTCCGCAGAATAGTTAAATACATTTTTGGATTCTCATATTGTCCATTTCCAGTATGTTTTTTTTATGAAGAAAAGTGAGCAAGGCAATACATTTATCATTTATTGATTTATTCCCTTTGGACATTGATAGTCCCAGAAGGAATTATTCTGTATATGCTCAATCTTGAGTCTTGACAATGATTTCATATTGATGAGAAAACTTTTAAAAAATCAGTAGTAGCTAAAAGTTTCTAGTTTCATCATCTTTACAGATCAGAGATTCGTCAGTTTCGTTTGTGCTTTCTTTTTTAAGTGCCAAATAACGAGGACTAAAACCTGTTGTTGTAGATTCTTAAGGGAAGTAGTAATGAAGGTCTTAAAGAGTCCTTTATTACTGTGACAAATAAATGTCAATTAATTTGGTGTTTCATGCTTAATAATGCATACCTATAACTGAATGTAGTTTTGTTATATCACTTCTAGAATATGTTTCACACACTATTTTCTGGAGTTAACGATGTCCTTGGTACTTTTCCCCTGTTTCTCAACATATTGAATATCTCCTGGGCTTTGCATCTTGCTTCAACGTATTTGCCATAGATTTTCTTCTCATTGTTTCAAATCAGGTAGGAGACAGATGCGAAGTTGACCCAGGGGAGAAAAGAGGTTGTCAAATATGTGGGTCGAGCAGAAGCATTAGGACCAGGATTTTGGATTGGAGTTCAATACGACGAACCGCTTGGAAAACATAATGGCATGTACGTAAACTCTATATTCTTATTTTCCTAATGATTTCACTTTATATATATGTGATAGAAACTCATTTAAGGATAGATATATTTTTTTGTCAATTATATGTGTATTTAAAAGAGTGGTATATAATTTATTCAAGTTGAAGGTTATTTGTGTACCTTTTTTTAACGCAGATGCATTAAGTTGGTTATCATTGTTGGACGCACGTTAAATATTATATCTTATTTGAAGGCATTTTTATCTAAATGAAAAAATGGTTTTATTGAGTTTAGTGGTGGACACACAAGGATTGGAAATGGGAATATTTCGGATGCAGTATATATATATTTTTTTCATGGTTACATACAAGTATAAAATATCTATATTTCAGTACCTCATTCACAAGACTTTTATTGCTTGGTGTAGCATTCCTTATTGCCCTCAACATTATGACTTATTGCCTTATGTCTTGTTGACATTCATATTGTCAGCTGCTTGATATGTTTTGTTCATGCTTGAACCAGACATTGTGGAGTTAATTCTTCTGAGACATTTTAGTGCTTTATTTGTTTGAATTTGTTACAAAATCTGTTTTTCATACTGCAGGGTGAAAGGAACTCGGTATTTTCAATGCCCTCCACTTTGTGGTGCAATGGTTAGGCCCGACAAAGTAAAGGTTTGTATGCAAATATGACAAGTGATTTAAGCATTCTGGGGATTCTTTGTTGCATTTTCAAGTTCAAATTGTTTTAGGTTGATAGTCCTTTTATTTAGAATCACTCTCCAACGAATTAATAAATTGCAAGATCTTTCCTTTAAAGCTAACCCTCTACAAGCTTCTTACCCACTAGCATCTTACTTTTTTCCTTTTTCTACATGTGGATCTTTATCGCAAGAGCTTGTAATGCACATATATCCATGATGGAGTTGCCCATGCTTTAGGAAAGAGTGTTCACTACACTATTTCATTGTCCATAGCTACTTAACCTTCTAACATTGTTCATTTTATCCTGTGTTTCCTTCTAATTATTATTTATAGCATAATTACAATAGAAAAGGAAAATTATTCTCGACTGTTAATTGATTTATGGTAGTGGATAGGAGATAGGAAGGTATAAGAGTTTTAAAAGATGGGATAAATGTTGAAGACATTAGTTCTTTGCAGATAATATGTTAGGGAACTTAATCAATAATTCGTTTTTTTCCTTTGAAAGATTTGGATCCAAGTCCTACCCCTAGTGCTGTCCTTTTTTGCCAATTTATGAAGTGACTAACGATAAGTGAAAATTAGTGAGTTCTCTTCATTTGCGTTCAAAAGATTTGTGCATGACTTCTCTGTTAAAATATCTACAGCTGATGGACTCAGTTTGTCTAATTTTCTTGTTCATTATATAAATTCTGCATATATGTTTAACAGGCAGCTTAATCGATTTTTACATCTAAAGTCCAAGAGTTGTATTCTACCAGTAAAACATTTGAGGTCTCCTGTCCTTACATGTGTTTTGGCTCCTATTTATTTGAAACTTAGAATGGCACTTCCATTTTCAGGTTGGCAACTATCCTGAACGAGATCCCTTTGAGGAGGATGAGATATAATGTGGTTGTGAAAGGGTATTGCTACATTTCTGTTTCCAAGCAGTTTCAATAACATTACAGGCTGACAATGATACATTTGTATTTGATGTTATTGTAACATATATGGTATGAGAATGATGTGTGAGACTGAAAGATGATAAACTTTAAGCATGAAAAGCTGCTATTCTTCTTTTTGTGCTTGCTCCTTGACTTGTGTTTCAGGAAAAGAACTAAAAAGATCCCGGAACAGGGACAGAGATGATAACTAAGCAGTACTCACCTACACACTTTTTGTTCCATTTTCACCATGAGCTTCAACATTCGAAACTATTCCCTGTATGATTGCTTAAAAGTGCAGATTGATTGAGCTCTGTTGAGCTTTATGGAATATTGCAAACTATGTTTTCCCTCAGCGATCCACTCGTATGCAAATAAAGCCTGCTTGATATTGGGAATATAATCTTGAAACTACGGTTCATAAGATTTTGTACAAACTTTGTGGTAGCTAATGCTTTCAAACATACTATATTCACGATTGAACCAACAAGACTGGTCATTTAAGGACATTGATGGCAATCTTGGTTAGGGAAGATTTTATCGCCTTGAAAATATGGGATTAAATGCAAACTCTTTGCAAAGCATATTCATTTAACTAGATTACTTAGCAAAGCATTTCATTTCATCCTATTATTATTCACTTAGATCACTTTATTGATATGTTCATATCAAAATCAATCATGTAGATATTATTAACATGACACATACTTCATGGTTCTTACTTCACAAATAATCACGGGTTACTTCAAATCAAAATTCTCAAATGTACTAAAATTATTATAAACAAAACTTGGATTCATGAATTCATCACCTTTTCATTGTAATAAATATTCTAGCTTGCCTCAATATCATCTTCTTCCCTTCTGTTATCAAATGAAATCTTGGGCTTTGAAGAACTAATATTTAGATTATAACTCTTGTTTCATTTGTTGAGTTAATTAAAATCCTCCGAAGTCCTTCTCTCTCAAATCCTTTAACTTTGATGTTGATGAAGGAGGAAGAAGAAAAATGAAAGAATGATGATATCCCCCATTCTCTTCATTTCGGTTGGTAACTTGGGAGAGAAATGGTGGATTATAATTTATTTACTTTTATCCATTTAGGAAGGTGTGCCCACATTGATATGTTGATGTTGAGTGATCATTTTCCACTATCCCCTTTTGAGAAAATTGCCCTTTGGAGCCTTTCTTTCTTTTTTCTCTTCATTCAAATCCTTTTGAAAATTTATAAATAATTATTTAATTCTTTGTTTTAAGCTTTGGATTGAGTTGATTTCATGTTAAAGTTAAATTGATATATTAAATAGTTAAAAGTCTTTAAAATAAATATTATCACTTATAAGCATACAAGAATAATAAAAAAATTAAAAAAAATGACGTCCTTATCAATTGAATTTTTATATAAAAAATTTAGGTGTAAAAATATAAAGATACCAATATTACATGTTCTTTTCATGTATATGTTTTTTATGTACTATTCTTTTTATCAAGAAGAATATTTAGTGTATATATAGGGAGACTAATAAGTTTTACAGTCATTTATAGTCATTAGATTTAAATAAATAAATAAATGTCTTAGATTTAATTAAAATTTATTACTCATAAATAAATATATTTTAACTCACAGAAAAATAATATCTTCTTTTACCCTCAAATTTAAAAATTCTAAACCCCAAACCTTAAAAACCTAAATCCCAAAACTTGAAATTCTAAACTCCAAACTCAAATTCTAAACCCTACATCTTAAATCCTACACTCTAAACCCTAAATACTAAACTTTAAACCCTAAATTCTAAATCTTAAACTCTAATTCCTAAATTCTAACCCTAATAAGAAAAGTATATATTTTTTACTGTGAGTTAAAATATATTTATTTATGGTTATAAATTTTAATTAAATCTAAGTCATTTATTTAAATCTAATTGGCTATAAATTAGTGTAAAACTTATTAATTTTACATATTGTAAGTGGATCCTAATATATATATATATATATATATAACAACTTAACTTTAGATATTGTTCATGTTTATATTAAATTATATATTAAATTTTTATATACTATAAAATTTTACAAATAAGCTGGACTGGACCACGATTATACCTTAGCTACTAAAACTCAAGCTAACCTCATATTTTAAACAAATTTAGTTTTTATCTGAACTTATCTTTTTGACCTAATTTTTCTCATCAATACCATTTAAGTATGGTGAGAACTTTGAGGCTTAAAAATTGTTTCTTTTTATGCAATCAGTTACCTTTATGGATGTCTTATACGTGAAAGGCATAGGGCTACAAATAAATATAGAATAATATGGGTTTTATAATGTATTCAAAAGAAATGAGATCTTTTATGATTAGGAAAACAGTTGGGATGTTTAGCGGGAATTTCAACCATTAATATATATATATATATATATATATATATATATATATATAAAAGATTGTTTAGATGTAATGGATGCAAGCTATAAAATCTCTTTTTTATGTTTATTTTTAGGAAAGCACTGAAGAAGAAAAACTTTGAAGAGAGCTAAAATTAGAAAGTCTTAATCGGTTATAATATTTCCTAGCTACGTGAAACATCATCACTTTATGAAGAAGAAAGACTTTAAATATATATTTTTTAATTATGGATATTTGATTTTCTGATTTAGTTTAAATCGAGTATTGTAAAAATTTATTTATAGAGAAATTATTAGACGGTTTTAATTTATCACATCATTCGTTGTCTCAACCAGTAATATTTATCTATATCATTTTTTCAATGTGAATCTTTACCTCTTTTCTACATATAAATAAAAAATGGGTAGTTATTTTAAAATTTATGATTCTCATTCATTGGGACCTCGGATGACATAGTGAATCGGGTTCATCAAATAATTTCTCCTATATGTGAGAATGATAATTCCAATCTAATTTGCTCTATTCATAATCTTATTTAAGAATTCAAGTCTCATTTCACTAAATAAACTAATTGACGGTAACATAACCTCTTTAATAGCTGGAATCTTATCTATTTTTTGATTTTATAGTTCATGGGGAGAAAATGGCCAAACAAATTTTATGTTGCTCTTAGAATTAAATGAAATAAAATAACAAGACATGAGAGCATTGAGTTTCCCGAAATAAAATATATTTTATAAAATTAAAAAAAAAAAAAAGCTAGACTATATCAAGATTAGACCTTGACTGCTAAAACTCAAGCTAGACTCACATTTTAAACAAATTTAATTCTTATCTAAACTTATCTTTTAGACTTATATTTTCATCAACCTATTTAAGTATGGTGGGAACTTTGAGGCTTAAAAATTGTCTTCTTTTGATGCAACCAATTACCTTTATGGATGTCTTATAGGTGAAAAACATAGGGCTAAAATCAGTATGTAAATAAATATAGAATAATATGGGTTTTATTCAAAAGAAATGAGATCTTTCATGATTAGGAAAACAGTTGGGATGTTCAGTGGGAACTTCAACCATTAGTATATGCATAGGTTCATAAAGATTGTTTAGATGAATGGATGCAAGCTATAAAAACCATTTTTTGTTTGTTTTTAGGAAAGCACTGAAGAAGAAAGACTTTGAAGAGAGCTAAAATTGGAAAGTCTCAATTGGTTATGATATTTCCTAGCTACTTTAAACATCATTACTTTGAGATTTTTCTTTTACTTTTAATTGATACTTAGTTTCCTTTTATTAATGGATGATTTTATTTAAATGTATATATATATTTTTTATTATTGGTATTCTATTTATTGATCAATTAATTCGTGTAAGATATTATCAAGGTCTACTAATAAAAACGATCTTTCTAATCTAAGATGCTCGATTCATAATATCAAATTTTAAATTTATGGTTTTTATATAATACCTTATTTTACTAGACCCGCTAATTATTGGTAAATATACCTCTTTAATGATCACAATCTTATGTATTTTATTGATTTCGTAGTTCTGGGGGAGAAAATGGTCAAAACAGATTTTATGTTGCTCTTGGGATTAAGTGAAGTAAGCTAACGAGGCATGAGAACATTGGGTTTTTATTAGTACCAATGCTATTGCAATGAAGTGATTAATTTGCATAGGAAGAGTTTCAATTTGTATGGTCTTCCACCCCACCCCCCCAAATACCCCAATGAAGGATAGACAAGTAAATAGATCTTTTTCATTGCAATAATGAATCATCCATTTAGGGAAACATACAATAATATTCAGGATGTGGGTCCCCACCATTTTCAATTTCCATACTTTAATTGTTCATATTTTGTTTGACACATAAAAGTTTAGATAGATTTTATGTGAAAGGAATCTACTTCTGTATAACTCATAAATCATCTCTGTGAAATTGTTCTCAAATTCTTTTCTTTTATTAAGAACCAAAGCGTCCTTTCTGTTCAGTTCACTTTTTTCTAGTTTTTTTAATAGAATAAGATGATTATAAGGTAGAATTTGTTCATAATATACTTAGATATCGACAACGCATACATATTTTAGGTGCAACTATTCGAATCTAAGACACTTAAACTTATATCATTGAAATCATTCAATGAGTTCCGTTATTAATAAATATTTGTCTTTCAAAATTTTATAATTGTCCTTCAAAATATTATCTTAAAAGTTTGAACTTTAATGCACATATACAATTTAGTATCAACTTCAACCTAAATAAAGCTGGGGGACACTTACATGTATTTTTTTTATCCATACGAGCTTTTCTACTTACTTTCAAGTTACAATTGGATAAATTTTTATAAATCTATATTCTTTATAAGCTTGTAATTTATAAGCACGTTTTTCATTCGGATCAAATTTGACTCGTAAAAATTCATTACTTGAATTCAACAATCTATAGAACATATGTTAAAAATCAAGTCGAACATCATTAAAGATATTTAATTAAAGACAGAATATCACAAGGAATATAGAGGATGGATGTTGGCAATTAATAATGTTTAGGACAATCAAATACCATAAATTCAGAAGACCTAAATTAATAATAAAGGTCCTTAAACTCGGGTATAATTGTGCATGAAACGATTATGATATGCAGCTGGATTTACGGCAATCAGAATATATGCATTTGTACATTTCTGCAAGTAACCAAGGCACAC